AATTACTATGAAAAATGTTTGGTAATTTTTTGTATCTTTTTCTTTTTCTGGGTTCATGCTTTTGACTGGATAAGAAATTCGTGGGTATTGTTCGTTCAATCACTCTGTCACCGCATCCACATCCACAGCGACCAGCACCCGCCATTTATTTAATCATCCAAGAATCTGTAAAATATAGAAAGGTTAAGCATACAAAATCGTCTCTAATCCTGATGAAACAAGTTTAATTAATTATAAATATTGGTACAACATTCTGAATTCGCAAATATAGTAATGAAAAAGACTAAAATAACCTTAAAATATCTTATTGATGCATTCGTGATAGATTATATCACTGGTAGACTAGATCGTTAATGAACATCTTTCGATAGATTATATTGGTGATAAACTATATCATTGATAGATGATAAGAAACAACTTCTTTTATAACTAATTGGTTTTGAGATGAAACTTCATGAATATTGATATGGTATTAGAGCTCAAAAAGTTCAAACAAACATTTAGTTCAAAAATGGGATCCAAAATTAGTGAATCCAAAAGATGCATTATCTCGAGGAGATATATTAATGATCCTATATTAAAAAGATAAAGAACCTAACATAAATTTTTGCTAAGCCTGCAATCGAGGGAGAAAATCTTGTCCTCTCTTATCAGCCAATTCAACACCGATCACCTATAAAAAAAGGTTGGATAAACCACTACCCAGGTATGTTACTCTATGCCAAACATAAGTGATAAATTATATTATCGATAAACATTTGTCAATAATAAACTATATATAGGTAATAAATAATATAATTGATGGACACCTCTAATAATAATACACGTATTTGGACCAAAGCGAGCATAACTCAACGATAATTGATATATATCTCCAACCAAAAAATTGTAAATTTAATCTCTCATCTCCACGTRTTGTACTCTTTGCTGATATAGACTACCACTGTATAACCATAAATGAGTGATAACCACCACAAAATCATAATTTCATTACTATATCCAAATTATTATTATTATTATTTTAAATAAAATTTGGTCGGAAGAGAGAGGTGAGTAATGAGAATGGATCATATTGGAAAGGGAATTGTGCGTCTGTCACCCGGCTGTCACCGCAGCCATCAATTTCCCTTCCCACGCCATCGCCAATTAAAGGATAGACTGTTACGTTAAATTTTCCGAAAATTGTAAGCTAAAGGGTCCCCTTCTCGAGAGACGTCTTGGATTGGATCAGCACCAACTTAATTTGATTTCTTAGATAGTCAGAAGTCACACGCTTCCCAATCATCAYGATGGTTCAAGTGATCTATCTGTTTCGTGTTGAATTAAAAAAAATACTAGTGTTCTAATAGGTGAGGATCTTTCTTGTTCTTACTATTACAACTAAGAAACAGAAATGTAAACTATTACAGCTAAGAAACATTGATGTAAAAATTCCATGAATTACAAATTCTTATTAATCTACCTCATTAACCAATAATCTTTAAATTTCATATCATCTATAATAGTATGATGTTGTCTGCTTTAACATAAAGCTCACATATYTGCTTTTGATTTTCACTTTCTATCAATGTGGATTATTCTCCTCATCTATATATCGTGAATTAATCTCTTTTCTAACTAATATAAGACTTTATTTGCACATTTTACAAATCCAACATTTCGTCACTTGAACTTATACTTCTAAGAATTCTAAAGAAAGGTTTTTTTTTTCATTCTTTATAAAGTTGGTAGAAGAAAGAGTTTTATGGTACTCAATTCTGCTTATTAAATTTTGATAAAATCATATTTGGAAAAATATTTGACTCCTCGATAATAAATAGGAACTTTGTTCTCCTCACAGTTAAATATTTGACAATTCATAAAGAAAAGACATAAACAAATTTTTTTTAAAATAATAATGAGTGGTTAAATATTTAACGGTGGGAAGGATAAAGATTTCTCCTCATTGTTGAGGAGCCAAATATTATTCACATCATTTTCATTTTATAAATGAAACGCAGCAAACTATCTATCTCGATGCCATATACAAAAGGAAAAATTAACATTTTTTAAATATTTAAAAACAACTCTAAATTATTTAGATAGTTAATCACACTCTTCTGTTTACCATTCAAACCATTCTTATTCACTTAACCTAAATTAGGTAAGAAAAAAAAAACCATCTTGAAAACTTATAATGTGAATCTTGAAATATAAAAAGAGCGCAAATTAATCAAATAACAAAGCTATCAGCCTCTTGTCAATCATTAATTAGGATTTGATTCAATAATTTATTTTTATGACAATTTGATTCAATAAATTGATTTAATATATTTAAAAAAACAAATAAAAAGAGAGAATTGTGAGTGAATAATATAACTCCCACCGACAGGAAAAAAAGACTAAAACTAAAAAGTGTGAAGCTAATAAATGAAAATGAAACAACCGATAAGGAAACAAAACATTAACATTCACAAAAAATAAATGACCTTTTGTCGAAGTTAAAATAATTTATATTTAATGATTTGTCTAGGAATTTAAATTCTCAAATAAAAATTAACTTTATATTTTTGCGAAAAGTCGGGCGTATGAAAATTCGGAACTCAAACTCCAACAAATTATTGATGACTCACGCTTCATTTAATAACTATATCATTTTTTCTAATCTATGTTTTTAAAAATTATGCTCATTATTTCTTTACTACATTGTTCTAATATTTTCACAACACATCTTTGCCAAAATTTAAAATAAAATACAAGTTTTTAGAAACTATTTTTTATTTTCTAAAATTTGACTTAGATTTTTAAAATCTTTTTAAAAAATTGATAATAAAGAATACAGAGGAGGAAGTTGTAAACTTAATTTTCAAAAATAGAAAACAACAAGTAAATCGGTTATCAAACAAGGCCTCGACTATCAAATTATACTCAAGTTGACAAATAAATATATTATAATTTTTGTTATAGGTGAAATTGTCTATCAAAATCTTACGAAATGGAGTTAGGAAAGCGACATGGGTCAAACCACTCGGTCAAATTCTCTAAGCCAAACCATCCAACCAGACTAGACTAGAGCCGATCGAACTTGGTCAAACCAGTCCACTCGAACCAATCCAAGGAGACTCCTTCTATAAATAAAGAGGAGAGACTTGGGTGAGRTATGCACTCATAACCCAACTTCTAGCTTCTTGCACCGAAACTTTTTGTTAACTTACTCATGAGAGTGTARTGAGTTTAACACCACATCGATGTGCAGATTTATTTTTATGCACAACTATTCACAAAAGCTACCGAAAACTAGAACCAAATTCCTACCTCAACAAACTTTTTTCAAGGTCATTAACAAATTTCATTGGAGCCATACAGCAAAGATTGGTGGTCCTCGAGACGRAGAGCTAGAGAAATTAAATCAAAACCTATAATTGTAGGTTGTGAAATCAACATCACTAGGCGTGTTCCTCTGCAGAAGCACAGCCATGCGCCATACGAATGGGGCTATCAATTTTGGGTTTGTTAATATCCAAACGTGGAAATTGCCCTGTCCTGTCCTTTCCTTCCTCGCTCTCATCAACCTTTTTTTTTCTCCGCTTCCAGTTGGTCCGTAGAAATACTTTCAATATTTTGGATAATGAGTTGATCTATATCTTTATTGTGGTACGATGTTATCCCTTTGAATCTCAATTTATATCGTTTTATTTTTTAATTTTAATAGTCTTGTATGTCTTTATATATCTGGCATCCTTTATTATTGCTCTTGTTTTTCCGCTCCTATAGTAGGGTCCATAGAAATGTTTTTAATATCAATCAAACATTTCAATATTTGAGATAATGAATCTATTCATATTTTTATTGTGGTATGATGTTATCTATTTGGATCTTAATTCATACCGTTTTACTTTTGGACTTATTGATGAAGATGCTGGTCATTTATATATACCTAGCATCCTTTGTTGCTCTAATCAACTTTTTTTTTATTGGTCCGTAGAAGTTTTTAAATATCAATATCAAACTTTTCAATATTTGAGATAGCAAAACTATCCATATATTTATTGTGATATGATGCTATCTATTTGGATGGATAATGAGAGATATCTAAAAAAAAAAAGGTCCAATTACAATTATTCTTAATCTTTTTCAACTTTACTTAAAAAAACTTGGTATGAACGAAGATGTTGTTCACGTTTATATACTAGCATCTCATTTCTAATTGACACACTTCTTCTGTGTCTTTTCATTGTGGCTTCCCATTAAAATCAGTTGCAATTGTAATGATTTTAGAGGTTGTGAGACTGACTTTTGTCCTTTGAATAGTAGGTTGGATTTTGAGCTATTTCAATTTTTTTAAAAAAATAATTGTTACTACTCCTAATCTCGATTTGATTATAAGTAATTCAATTGATAATCCTAGAAATAACTAAAATTATTAGCTATAAAGGAAGTAATGAAAATTTAGTGTATAGGTTAATGTGAGTGGCCGTTGGCATGAAATATTTTAGTTTCTTCGGTAAAATCTAAAGAATGTCTTATTTGGTTTTTGAAGGAGAAAAAAAAATTAAAAATACTATTTAAATCCTACAACATTATTTGATTAAATTTAATCTATGTTTATTATTATTATTATTTAAACTTCCCCAAGGAAACAAGGAAACAATTAAATGGGCTTGACAAGTGCAAAATTGGGAAGGGCCGGCCCAAAATGGCTCACAAGAAATTATGTATCCTTATTAATTGTGTAACCATTCTCAAGCAAACCGGGCATTTGGTCTAGTGGTATGATTCTCGCTTTGGGTGCGAGTGGTCCCGAGTTCGATTCTCGGAATGCCCCATATTTAACAACTTTTTATATTTATTCTTTTGCTCCAAAGGGCTGATTTCAGGCCCAATCATTTCGATCTCGAAGTCCAATACTGGATCCAACGGCCCATTTCTCGGCCCAGCTAATGAAGCCTTCTGCAGCGCGCGGTGGGAAATCATCAGTAAGAACAAAAGTCAGCGATTTTTTCTTTTTCTTTTTGAAAAACTTTCGTAAATCGAGTTGAAAAGCTTAGTCGTGAAGTACTTGGCCAGTAGTCTGTCCCTTTTTAAGTCGTCCATTTTCTCGTTCATCTCTATCGTGGAGTGCAAACGAGCTGCAGAGAGAGAGCCATGGCGGATTCTAGGGTAGATACAATTTCGAGGTTAGCGCAATGGAGGATCGACTGCCTTGGACCTTGCAACTTCAAGAAATCCGATCCTTTCAAGGTCGGAATCTGGAATTGGTACTCTTCTTTCGACGCTTCATTTGATTTTGTTCGGATTAGAAGAACTCCAATTGTAGGTGAATCTTAGCTTGTTCTTGAATTTATGTACTGGATTTCAGGCATTTGTCGGTCGAGAAGAGTCGATACCTGCACATTCGTTTATTCCCTGAGCCGTCGAAGATCTCGAAGGAGCAACCTCCAATTGCTCGGTTTATTCTTCGAGTCTCTAGCGTTGGACCTAACCGTAGACCTTATGTTTCTCCCAGTATGTGTTCTTGTCCACTTGGCTGATTCTGATATTGCCTGTTTACTTTTGAGCTTTGCATGTTGTGATTGAGAATTTTGAAGCCGTATTCACTGAGGAAAGGGGAAGGAGATGGAAGAATACTTAGAGCTAGACAAGCAATTTGGAAGTTCCTCTGTTTTTCTTCATTATTTTTTTGCTTTGTTATTAACTTTTATTGAAGTGTCAGTGAATAAGGTGTATTTTAGAAATGACAATTTACATTGGAACCGTTGCATGTACTCTCATAATTTACAAAAAAAAATATTTATATATAAAATCATTAAATAATTTTCAATAATTATTTCGTAAATTGTTCATTAGGATTCATAAATCATATCGTTAAATAATACATGGGAAGCAATTAACAACTTGTATATTTCATCAAATAAATTAGATATTTGGTACCATGTTTTAATTTGTTATAACTCAATAAATGTTTAATAGCATTTAAAAGTATTGAGAATATTGGCAAAAAGTTAAAATAATTAGCAATATTTTTTGTAATTACATAAAATTTTACCATATTATAACTATTTGTAATAATTTGTTCTTATTTTTTTAGCCATTTCCTATGTGGGTGTCCTACATATAATATAATACTCTTTATACTTCTGCTAATTCATTAGCTTCTCTTTTTCGGATGAGAAAATGAAACTAATCTAGTGGGAAAATGTGGTTTGCTTTGCAACCTTTTTTTCTTCAGTGTGGGAGTGCACACAATGTAGCCAATGCAAAATATCATATCTAATCGACTTATTTTTATGAGAAAGCTGTTGTTTAGTTTAGACCACTTGGAGCCTTTGGCCCAACTACGATTTTCAAATCTTGAGCTTCTCTTTTTTGGTCAAATGGCATGATTTTTGATGATTCTTGAATTACTCGGTTTTCATATACAGTTGATGAACTGCAATTTTCTTCCTGCAGTTCATGAAAGACTTCTTCGGACAAGCGAAGACTTTGTTTGGCCTGTTGATTCAACCTTCCATGGTCGCTTTATTGTTGATGTCGAGTTCCTTGACTTGAAGATCTGCCCTGTGAATGTGAGTGTCATCTTGAGAGGTGGATTTGATTTAACTTCAATTTGTCGTTTGATGCCCATTTCTTTGCAATAAATTTCTAGAAATTCTGACAGTAGCAAAAGGTCGAGAATGTCGACCTGAATTCTTGAATTGTTCGAAAATCTGTCTCTTCATCCGTGTAATTTTGAGTGTGACCGGCCATTTTCAGATTTCTTATAGAAACTACATTTGCTAGCCATAGTTTATCTAACAGTTGAATCTGAAAGGGTTTGAAGGGAGGAGAAGCCAATTCTATTTGGCCCATGGATGGAATAATGCAATCTGTATCATCTCAAAGCACTCTTAAATGCCTCTCTCGCATGCTGGACGAGTCTATCCATGCTGATGTCACCATCAACACCGTCGATGGCACTTTACGAGCTCACAAAGCCATTTTATCGGCCAGTTCTCCGGTGTTCAAGAGCATGTTCCTTCACAATCTCAAGGAAAAAGAGTCTTCCATCATCTTCATAGAAGACATGTCACTAGAAGCCTGTATGGCTCTGTTACGATACCTGTATGGAACCATAACAGAAGAAGACTTTTGGAAGCATCGACTGTCACTTCTCGGGGCAGCCAACAAGTACGCTATCGAAGACCTAAAAGATGCCTGCGAGGAGAGCCTCTTGGAAGACATAAACTCGGCGAACGTCCTCGAGAGACTGCAAGAAGCATGGCTTTACCAGCTGCAGAAACTGAAGAAAGGATGTTTGGCGTACCTGTTCGATTTCGGGAAGGTCTACGACATTAGAGATGAAATAAATAACTTCTTCAGGCAAGCCGACCGGGAACTGATGATGGAGATGTTCCAAGAAGTGCTTACAGTATGGAAACCAGTTTAATAACAATGAGTTCTCATCCTCACCAGGTGAGCAGCCTTGTACTTACATTCATAAATGTGTATATATATGTCTAAAGGGCATTTTGGTAAACCCCTTTTTTCTAGGGTGATGGTATGGTTCTTCTATGTTTTTACAGACTTGATGCAATATGTTCAAATTACAGTTTTTTTATCTTACAGCTGGAAAATCCACAAAATAAACTGATTTGCTGATGAAAATTGTGAGTTTGTTTTGATAGGTTGTTTCTGAAATTATTTTTAGGGCTTATAATTCAGGGATTTGTGAAGGTTGAGATTATAGAAAACTTGTAATTTGTTTAGAAGTTATTTATGAAAATGAGGAAAAAGACTAAAAAGCAACTGTTAAATTATAGTTAATTTAATAAAATTTTATTGAACTTTTATTTTAAAAAAGTAAGGAATTGTTTAAAAAATAATCACTCACAGAAGTTTTCCTTCTTGGTGTGGTCTGTCAGATATTACTCTGCAGTAAATAATTGCCCATTCGGTTGCTGTCGATGTCAACTTGTCCAGATAGTGACTCATACCTGATTTTCTTCATTTATTTGATACATACATAAATGTCTAGGTAGATAGATAAATATATATAACGCCCCGGGCCTAGGATTCGAAATTCGGATTGGTATCTCTTTGTCCCGGCATTCTTCTGGGATCTGGTTGTACCACCGTCAAGTTCTAAACTACTTAGAATAGGAAGTTCTCGAAAAGGAAGGTGTACATTGTTGATATAGGTAGTAACTATAGATTCTTTTTAAGTCTTTCTTGACCATTCTTCCATGATCTCAGTCATTCGAATGTGGTATCGGTTCATTCATGTAGCTCTCTCTATAATTAAAACTTTTGAGAGTGTTGATTCGAAGCTCAGATTTTCTTTATTGAAAATATATGTTTTAATAAGTTAAGTTATGATTTTGGAGACAAATATTTAGAGTCATATTTAATAGACTATATATTGATTTTAAAATATATTAAGATTGTTTTATTAAAATTAACAACATAACCTAAAATTGTTTTATTAAAATTAATAACATAGCCTAAAATTATTTTTTATACAAAATTTAAAGTTGAGATTAAGATCAAAAAACGTAATAGTTTAAGAGCCTAAATATTTAAAAATTTAAGAATTAAAAATAAATACAAAAATAATACTTGTTTTAAGTATTTTTATTTGTTCGAAATCACTCCTCAACGATACAATATGAATATGTTATAGAGGTATCAACCAAAAACCATCCTAAACTCACCTCAAATCTAGTCAAAATAAGATTACTAGTGTATTGTTGATTAGTATATTAAAAATTCACTTAATTGGAATAGATTTTCATCATCAACATCTTTAATCTACAAGAATGGGAAATAATAATTGGTTGGTATGAAAAGTGAAAACTACCATTTTTAGGTTTAATTACAAAAAATACCCTCAACTTTGCTCTTTGTTTAAAAAAGTCCTCTATCTTTTCAAAATTTTAATATTATCCTTGACCTTTCATATACATTTCAAAAATACATTTGAACAAATATTCATACGAAAAGTTGACGTGACAAAATATGTAACTAACATGACAATTAATGGATTTCAATTTTACTTTAAAAGTCTTGTTCTTCCATTGTCAGGAGAGTTTGTCTCTCTATTGTCTACCCAACTATGTCGTCTCTCTTTAAAAAATAATAGTTTCTTCCACATTTTCTCTCTTTTCAAACCTAATATAAGCAACCTCCTCCTAAATTATTTACTCAAATGGTATTTTTTGAAGCATGTATAAAAAGGTAAATGACACTATTGAACCTCTTGAAAAAATAGAGATGTTCAAGGTTCATGGATATTTTTGTAATTAGCCTTTTCTTTTAATAGTTAATTTAAAAGGAACAAAAAAAGAGAAAAAAAAAAAGCGTTTGTTTTGTGACCCATCCAAACGCTGCCTTGTTTCTCCCAAATTCCAATAGGCTTCTTTTCCACATTTATAAATAAATCCCTTTTTCACCCGAAACTAAATAACAGAAAATCAACTCCCACTCGCTTTCTCTCTCCGCTCTCTGGTTCTTCTTGACCTCACTTTGATCGCGCATGGCCATGGATACTCTCTACGACTACCATGTCTGGCAACCTCACGAAGACGAAGAACACGATAATGTTACCATTTCCAATTCTCACTTGCTTCCTTGCGACTGTTTCCTTCTCCATCTTCACTTTCGCCATGTTCTTCACTCAAATTCCCCTCAAGAATCATCGCACACACTCCTAAATTCGTCTCTATCCTCCTTCTTGATTCCTTGCGACGCCTTCTTTGCCCGCGCCTCCACTATTCTGATCGCCGTCTTCTCCGGCACCGGCGTCGCCCAAGACTTCTTGGACGCGGCGATTCCTGACGTCTTGTCGGTCGCGGCCGATATAGCATGCAATCCTCTTAATGCTGGCCGTCGGATGCTTCCGCTGGCGGTGTCCGTTTTGGTCGTCTCGCCGCACGATGAACGCGAGGAAATTGGGCGGATTTCGCGGGAATCGGCTCAGGCGTTTAAGACGTGTCCGGCGAGTGAGTCGTCGATCGAAGCCTTGAAGACGGTGAAGATTGATGCCGGCCGGGAGTTGTTGATCGGAGAATGCAGGATATGCTTGGATGAACTGATGAGCGGAATGGAAGTTACGCGATTGCCGTGCTCTCATGTTTACCACAGAGACTGTATCGTCAAATGGCTGGAGACGAGTCATTTGTGCCCGTTGTGTCGCTACGCACTGCCACTGAGCTGATCGGGTAGATTTTTCAGAGGTCAATGGTTTTACATGATAGAATCAAATTTCCCGCAGAAAATTCGTTGTAAAATTTTGATACGGAATTGAATTGGTTTTTCATCCATTATTCATTTTGTAGTTTAGCTAATTGAGGAAAATTATTGAACCCTAGCTGGAAAATGTTCCCCTCTCTGCCAAAAATCACAGTGGTGGATGAGGGCTTCACATGAATCCCACATAGATAGCATCTTCAATTAGCAGAAATTGGATCCAAATTTATAGTTCAATAGCTTTAGGACTTCTGCACACGACACATTTTATACTGAGTGAATGGAAAAAGCTCCAATTTCAAACGTTCTACGACTCTAGAATTTTTTGCTTATCACCCTCTCCCAGTCCCATTTTCTGGTTTATTGTTCAAGTAATAACAACAAAAAGTATTCAAATTATTTTGGAATTCTTACTGAACTTGTTATTCAATTTGCTGCAGGAAGCTAACTCAGGCAGTGTATAGTTATATAGCTTGTTGAGTATTAGGAAGCCATACAATGACTGAAGATGAGGAATTAAGCCAGCTTTTGTCAGTTTTTAACATAGCTGATACAGAGGAGCAGGAAAATAAGATGGACTGGTTCTTGAAACTCCATTGACATTGAGACATTGAGAATCTAACAGATAGTGAGGATGGGACAGAAGTTTAACAATGATCTAAGTATTGCTGAAACCTTAGTGTTTGTCGCTACTTCAACAATTACACGACCAGAGAAGATTTTGATGAGAAAGCAACCAGCCAAGAGTTTCAACAATCTTTGGCAAAAACGAAAAGGGGTTGTTAATGTCTTCTTGTGAACAAGCTTGGGCCTAGGGAAATTTGCAGATATTCAGACAGCAAAATGGAGATGACTGGACGAGATACAGAGAGAGCAGGAAGCTAAGTCTATGCCAACACATAGCGAGGTGAGTTCATATCATAACATTTCTATCTTGAAGAGGCAAATATTAACTAGGCTTGGTAGAATGAGGCTGTATTTCCTTTACTTAGATATATAGCCAAGGTAGTAGTTTGATCAAAATTTTGAAATGGGTTTTGGAATTCTTGTACAGAGAACAAAATTTAGTTACTTAAATGAGGGGAAAATTACAACCATATACTGCTGAAATGAAATAGGTGTCATTTCTTCTTGGAGCTACAAAAAATAGCAAGAATACAAATACAAACTGACAGGATACAAACATGAGAGAAAAGCTAATTGGTATGAGTAGAACTTTCAGTTAGTCCCATTTAGACATGTTACAAAATTAGGAAAACCAAAAAGAAAATCAAAAGGATAATTGTTCTTATTCAAAAGGGACCCTTGAGATCTTCCAATCTTTCTTCTTCTGTGATCTCCCTTCTGTCATATGCATTCCATTATTTTTTCATGTCCTCAGCTTCTCCATTAGAGCATTGAAATCCTTCTCGTTAATTCATAAGTGATGGGTATTAAAGTTTCTTCACCCATTGACCCTACCTTCAATTTTGTTAGAGCAAAGAAAACAAGAACTTGATTAATCTATCTGTGATGTTAAAATTTTGCAAACCACCAAGTTCTACTTCTTTTCTAAGTAATCTATCTGGTGTTCTTGCGAGTCCACAGACAATCCATAACTTCTGCTTCTGTTAAATTCAGATTCTCCCATTGGCGCAAGAAGGTTTCCTCTACCATTACGAATCTCACTCCCACTACACCACTATCCATACCCTCCCTCTCACAGAGAAAATAGGAATCTATTATTTAGAGTCAGTTTGTTACCCCCAGGATTTTGGGGATTTGAAATCGGATTTCAAATGAATCCCTTTTAACAAATCCTACTAAAATTTTGAACGGTTAGATTTCACACTATTGAAAAAAATTAGGGTAAAAAGTCCCGAATAAAAAGTGACAGTTTTGATCCCTAACCTTTTAGAAATTAGTTTTAAATGGTCCCCAACCCTTTACTAAATTTTTTTTATTTTCCTTTTCTTTCCAACTATCAAACAAAAATTTTCAACTATTTTTCAAATTTGTCAATACATCAATTCGAATATAGTTTTGAACATAGTTTGGTAGAAAATCATCATGTATCAATTATTATAATAAGTTTAATTCTCTATTGTGCAATTATTTAACTTAACAAAAACATATTCATTTCAATACAAAAAAATACTCAAAATTTTGAAATCATCCAGAGAGCAAGAGGACTTGAAGAGACATTTTTACCACAAGTGAAGCAAGTAAAATCCGAATTTTCTCCTAGGTCATAAAATTTTAACAATTATTCAATTTTAAAACATGTAATTTAAGATTTTTATATACAATACAAAACTTTGATAGACACTAACCACATCTCTTTCGTTAGCCACCGTTAAAATTTGGACAAAAACAGAGATGTTTTTAAATTTTTGATATGTTTTAGATTTTTGGGGAAAAAAAAAAGGTAATCAATGGTTGCTTACATCGACTCCATTATTAAAATATATTTTTTAAAAGAACAATAATAATAATAACCTATTAAAATCTCAGACCAAGAGTGAATCCTCCGCCGCATTTGTTATATTAAAAATATATATATATTCAGGTAAGAAAGTGCAAAATGATCAGGAAGATAAAATTTTAGGTAAGAAAGTGGCAAAATGCTCAGTAAATAAGAGAAAATGAAAGGAAGAAGAAGAAGAAGAAAAAAATTTTAAATTAAAAAAAAAAAAACCAGGCTACCGGTTTAACAGGTAGATGGAACTCTTCCAAAACCTCCAGACTCTCGTGCAACCGATCAAACCGCATCTTCCCTCCAAATAGACGGAGGAATCGCCCCCAAAAAAATCCCTAAGCCCAAAACAAAATGTTCTTCTTCTTCGCCGGAGGGTTAGAGCAACAAGTTCGCCAGCTCCTGAAATCCGGCGCCGGCCGCTGCATTATTTGCAACTCGCCGGCCGATCTCGTGGACTACGAGAAAGTTCTGAAGCTCTTCTTTTTTCCGGTGTGGCGGTGGCCCGGAAAAGAACCACTCATGCACTGCAACAACTGCAAGCTTTTTTTCCCTCAGTCGTGCTCCCCGCCGCCAATGTCCGATCAATTGCCGCCGACGCCTGCCGCCCTCTCGAAGGACCTTCGTTGCCGTTCCTGTAACCGATTAGTGGAGCCCCACTTCAGCTTCTGCCCTTTCTGTGGCTCTTCTCTGTAAATTTCAAAACCTTGAATTCTCAATAAGACCCTACAAACTTATGTCCTTTTGCAATTTACACGTCGTTTCTAGTTCAAAAATGGCGTCTGATTCTCTTAATTGTTCTTGAAATCTGCTTCTTTTGGATGATAACTTGCTTGAATCAATGGAGGAATCGAAGATTGGAGAATGAAAATCTTTATTATTTCGCATATGTGTAATCGAAGCATACTCGTAGTTTTACAAGCCTAAAACAATGATCCTGAGGGTGAACTCTGGAGAATAATAACACCAAAAGCAAAGCAGAAAGAACTTCAGAGCAAAGCCGATTGAAATTTATGTAGCAGTTTCTAATTTACAAGGGGATTGTGTAGCCAACATCTCTCTGCTTCCAATTGATTTTCTTCTACAGCTTCTGCTGAGTCCAACTGAGAGGGTTACTTTTCAAAAGGAAGTGGAAGCTGAAGGAAGGGAGCTGGTTTTGTCTCAGCCTCATGGGTCTGTTCATCGCCAATTATAAGTTTAAAAAGGAAGGGGGTTTATTTTGGGTCCTAAGAAGTGTTTTTAAGTTAATAAAGTTTGAATATTTTTCAATTTGATTTGCTGAAGGGTAGTTGTTTTGCTCCTTCCTCTACAGCATTTCTCCATAGCCTATATCTTACGCCTAGCTTATCATAAGAAACTGGCATGTTCCAAATATTTGCTCCGTTAACCATTCTTTCTTGCTGGCCAATCACAAGCCTCAAGTCCTCATTCAACACCTGCATGAATAGCACAAAGAAAGCCTTTGAAGTTGGATAAAAATGGGATAATACGATCGTGAATAGCATTAAAACTAGTCAAATATATTCCTGGTTTAGTTTTGCTTTTAAAACTGCTTTCAAAAGAAGGTCCTGGACGAACATTTGGTTTGGTCTTTCCATTGTGAGACGATAATTTTACCTGTTCTGCAAAATGTCTCCAAAGATAGTGCATGAAAGGAATCTGCTTCAATACGGGAGCAAAATCGAGAGACATTCTATACAGTAGCCGTGTCTTCTGTCTTGTTGAAGGTAAGCACACATGAAGTTGATGAAGATGTGTTGAACATTCCCTGGTACTTTGGCCTTCTAGTTTTCCTGGCTTGGAGATTCCTATAGTTGAGAGCACCATACAAGGCGGTCGAAACTCCATGTCGATTGGGTACGGGTCCCAGTATCCTTGGAGCCCAGATGCGGGGGTTAAGAATTTCACCAAGCTGTAGAGTTGGATTCATGAGCGATAAAAGGTGTCAGTTCTGATAGGTTTCTTAACTGATAACTTATGATCCATTTTGAGGCACTACTTGGAGTTGGAACAAAATGTGATATGCCAATTGCTTTGCGGATGAAAAAAAACTAATCTTATTCCACCCAAAATTAAGAAAGATCACTTTCTTTTAGTCTGCTATCTGAAGCAACTAGCAAAAATGGTAAAGGGTTTGTATGGAAAACACATAGAAGAAGTCTTTCTTGGGGGTTTAGCTAAATTCATCTACCACCCATTTGAAAATTTTGATATTGACTAGAATGTACCTGGGTACGCTCCATCCTTTGGCAAAAGTGGAAGTATGAGTGAAAGGTGCATGAGCAAGATCCAGAAGGTTATCTAGAAGTAATCCATGCTCCACTGGAATTTCAATGACAAGCTGCCACATACAATTCAGCAGAAGATTTCAGGCACACTCTTCATTTACAACTCAACTGCTAAAAGCAACTGGGTGTTTCTAACAATTACCTCAGCATGGATTTGAAAACCAGGAGGAGGTTGTAGTGAAGGAAGGTTGGCTGCTGGAGGATCATTACCTGGCCAAACCCAGATCATTCCTTCTTTCTCGAAACATGGCAACGATTTTATTTTCACATTTCGTAGTCGCGTTGATGGCATTTTCTCACACTTGCCATCTGTTGAGTATTCCCAACCTGAAATTCTCAACGAATGAAAATAATTCTTTAATTTCTGTTTTTATTAAATCAGGGAAGCTCGTGAGTTTTCGAGTCTATAACTCTTTCATCAACACTAACCATGGTAAGCACATTGGACTCGACCGTCATTTACAGAACCAAGGTCAAGAGGGCATGCCCTATGAGCACATGTGTTTCGTATGCAACCAGGATTGCGATCCTTTCCACGGAAAATAACCCATGGTTCTTCAAAACAATCAAATGGGATCTGAAAAGGAGAATAAACTAGTAAGAGGGCACCCCCCAAAGTACTACGACGACTCTGAAAGATATTGGATGGGTGATTTGTAGAGTTACCATTATGTCATCTTTCAGATCACTGGAGAAAGCAACAGGATACCAGAAGTTCTTCAAGCGAGGATGATACGGTTCGACAGGTCCTGATACGTTTAAACTTTTCTTTGGCACCCTTCTATTTACAGAATCAAGAGTCTGTGTTGAAGTACCAGGCGAGGTAGATGGGGTATCCAATTCCGCTGTGTTTCTGTCTTGTAACAGCCTATCATTCACCAATTCTTCCATGTAAGCTAGTTTATCTAAAGCAGTGCTAACCCGTGCTTCAGATATATGAACCTGTTGTTCATAGGTGGTCAAACATGATAATGGTAAAGATAGGAGAATAATCACCTCACCAGGTCGAAGAACCAACAATTAAAAGTCATTGGTCCATCTTCTTCTTGATGAATTAGAAAAAAACTGACTATATATTCTTGGAGAGTGACAAGAATTGACAAGAAACTTTACAGACCTGTCTATGAGCTTCTGCCAATTCGTCTTGTAATCCGGCCAGCTCCTTCTTCATTGTTCCAATAGACTTATAGTCACGAGCTAGAGGATTTAGGACTTCCACTACCTAGAGCAATATTTAATCAAGGAATTTTCAGAACAAAACATGTTTCGAGAAGAAAGATAAACCATAGAAGTCTTGGAAAGAAACGACTGGTAACAGAGCAATAGAAAAAATAAATGCAGTAGCATGAGATTGAAGGAACCTTTTCATGTAGGAGCATGATTGCAAGAACATCTTGCCGAGCTCGCCAATCACAGTACTGAATGTCAAATCTAGCCACTTCTAGAGCTTGGTTAACATCTATGAACTTCCCTTTACATTGAGGAACTTTTGTTCTTGGATCTTCCACGTCAAAGAGCGTTTCCCAACCACTCTTTCTCTCTATAGCTCCTTCCTCTCCAAACAAAGCAAACACTCTAAATCCTCTCACACTCTGAAATTCAACAGTCCACAACATCAAATCGTAACTATCACAAAACCGTACATTCAAAGGAATCTAGAAGGAGAAACGAAAATCTTGAACCTCAGGGCCAAAAATTCAATTTAGAAGAACGCTGTATTAAACCGCTAATTGCAAATAAATACCCATCCAATCCACATATTTTGGTCTTCGGTTGGTTACCGAAAGCGATCAATTCAGTTAGTTCATCCCATTACTCACTTAACACTCAACAGCTCTCCTGCAGCAACTAAAGCTAGTGCCCACAAGTATGAACCGGAAGCAGCCACAAGTCCAGTAATCAAAAGCAATTACGAAAACTAAGCTCAATGAACATTGATAGGACATTTTCAGCCATATTACCAGAAAAATGTACATTGAAATGGACTTCTTCCAATCTTCTTTTCCATCGAACAGAATTCTATACTCGGAAGAGGTTGAGAGCAAAAAATTGGGGGAAAAAACAAAAGAAAAGAATCACTCACCTTCTTAAAATTAAGCTTCGGTGATTTGGAGAAAGATATCGGCAACGAGAGAGCTGCAGCCGCAGCTACGACGGCCATGGCGTTTGAACCGTGAGAATAGAGCGAGGGAGAGAAAGAGGGGGAGAATGAGAAATTTGGTGAGAGAGATTTGTTTTGTTTGGGGATTTTTGACGATAAGAGGTGGTAATATTCCGCGATCTCAGCTGGCCTTCCACACTCTGCCACGTGGAAAATAGTGGACTCTTCGCGATTACACGTGGCATGCTCAGCTTCCACATGCTTCTATTTACTGAGAGCGAGTATCTCGGGCAAGTGGGCCCCYGTCATCCTGCCAGCTCGGATTGCGAAGATATCTTTCTCTATCCGACTGCGTGGCTTTCTTTGAGGGTCCGGTTAACTCACCCGTCGAGTATGTAAAGTTGGATCTCACAATCTCACAGTTAAATCCAGACCGTCCATCTATACCCATTTAGTTATCCAAATAGCTCGCTCATGTTTTTTCAGCTAAGTTTGTTAAATAATAATGGCTAAATTACAAAAAGAAGAAAAAAAACAAAAACCTCAGCTTTTTCATTTGTTTTAAAAATACTTCTTTCAAAAGCTCCAATAATACTTCTCAACCTTCCCTGAACATTTTAAAAATATTTTTTTGAGCTATCMTCGGATAATATTTTGAATGAAAAGTTGACGTGATAGAATCTAGAACAATGTTAAAATTGACGTGGCATATAACTACCAAAATTTTCCCTCTTTCTCCGTTATCAATATACCACATTACACTCTAATTTCCATTTTAAAAATGTTCTTGAAATATCAAGGTTAGTATTTAAACTTTTGAAAGGATGTGAGTATTTTCAAAATTAAGGGTAAAATTCATGAGTATCTTTTGTAATTTAACTGATAATTCAATAAGAGCTATATAAATTTAGTTCCTCAACCTAATTATATAAAAAAAATTTAATTACATACTCAAAGTTTTTAACAAGTTCATGTAGTTTACTCTATTACTTAAATTTTCACTCAAAACATTATTGAATTATCAAATTATAATATAGCAAAACGTGGCAACAAGAACAATCGAACTAGATAAAATAGGAACAATACTTTTACCTCCTGATTGGTTAGTAAGAATCTCATGCTAACATTGCATTTTTATAACGAATATAAGAGAACAGTGCAAAAATAATGAGGATATTTTTTTTCAAAAATTAAAATAATTTTCAAATTTTTAATAGTGGTCGGTAGGATAATTCGTGCTAACCAGACATGATGTATGTATTACGAGCAGATGAGATAAAAGAATTGAAGTTTTTTCTTCAATAGCAAGAACAAGAAAGCGAATTGAATGATCAAACTCAAACATGCCAATCTCGAAATGGGCCGCTCGAGAACTAACAGGCTTAAATCTAAGAAGTGAATCCGGCCCAAAGATGAAGGCCCACGGGCTAGCTCGGTTGGTATGATGGGAATACATGTTAAGTTTCCAGTTATATGGTCTTTTTCTTAGACAAAATTATATGGTTAAATTATAGGAACTAAAATAATAAAAATAATAATTTAGGTATAAACATAGAAAAAATTAAGGAGTTAAAAAAGATTTTAAAAATTAAAAGATAAGGAAAGAGAATAAAAACTTTTTAAATGGGTCGAACATACAGCCCAACCCGAGGAATCGCTTGATGCTCAACTCGCAAGCATTATCTGATCACCGTTTATGGTGGAAGCCGGTTCCCCTCTCCCCGGTCTCCTCCTCTCCGTTTCAATCGATCGTCGCCATCACCAGCAGTTACAGAAGAGGCGATTGAGCTTTGTAGCGCAGTAATGGCGGGTAGGAGAGTGCCGAAGGAGAAGAGCAGGGCAGGGAGCTTCTTCTCGGCGACATTGGTGCTTTGGATTGTGTCTATTTGGTTCGAAATTCTGTTTTACCGGCGCTCTGAGCTGCTCTACGTCGTGTTCGGAGCTCTGTTCTACCAATCCGCCAACTGGACCGTTCGAGCTCTTGTTTCCAAGGATCCTCTCTTTGTCAACACCTCTGTTTCTCTCCTTCACTCCACTATCACCTCTGCCTCAGGTTCTTTTTCAATTCTACTTCTCTGTTTGGGGGGTCTTATGCGCCTTGAATTTGATGTTTTTTTTACTTCTACGCGACTGCCTTACTGTTTGATTCTTTGTTTGAGGGTCACTTCTTCTGCTTGGTTGAGGTTTTTCCTTAATGGAATTAGAAACTTTATTTGCACTATAAGAATTAAGAAAGACTGATAGTAGGTTGTGTTTCGTTGATGTGAGTGCTGTGTTGTGAATAGTGTCTATTATTAGTTGTTACTGGTGGCTAAGAGTTTGTAAGTGTGGTGTTGCTTCTGGGAATAGGGATGTGGTTCTTTGCGTATGCTATAGTGGGTTGTTTCAGCTGATGAGCTAGCACAAATAATTTTCTGGGAGTATTTCCAGCACCAAGAATTTTAAGTTGTTCTTTACTCTTGCTAAATTACTTTGGTTAAACTATTAATCTAATTTTGAACCTTGAGCAATGAGTGTATTTAGTTCTTAAACTTTTAAAAGTTCCAATTACATAATTTAATTTATTGAACAGTTCATTAGTCTATCATGTTGGCTTCCACATCATATCAACTCAGCTAAAGTTAATTTTCTATGTGATGATGGCGAAAACTAAATTAAAGCATAACTTAAAAGTTCAAAGACATAATCTTAAAGTCTTTAAAGCTTGAGACTAAACAAACGTATGCTTCAAGAACTATCTTGCTCTCTCCTCTCTTATGTGTCACCCCCTTGTTTTGGGGGATTCTTTTGTCCCATGTTTTCTTCGAGTGTAAGTAATGTATAAGGAAAAAAGTGTAAAGAAACTGTGGATGTTGCTGTTCGTTCTGGTTTAACAGGATATCAAAATAAACCAAGTTTAAATTAGTAGACAAGAAAAGGAAGGTTGCAAATAGATAAATAAATAAAGTGTTGGAGATAATGGATTTATTTTAGGAAAATAAAGCTTTAGTTGTTTTCCCAGATCAATCTAGGAAAAAACATCGGGAAGGGCTATCCATATGACCTGTTAATTCTATCATCACCTCAGTATGTTGCTTAATCCAAACAAGTTGGTATCATTTTGCTCTGACTACATACAGTTCTTCCAGACTGACCTAGGAAATTTTCAAGCCCCTCTTTTCTCATTCCCTATCAATTCGCTTGCCTCCTCGTGCTTCTTCCTTTTTGTCAATCATTGCATAGTATGCTTACTACATAAGTTAAAAGGGGGAAAAATTTATTGTTGGGTTGTGATAGAAACCAAATAGCTGAAATAGATTGAAAGATAAAATGATAAAAGGACTAAAATAATTCTCAAGTCATTCGAGGTGCTTAGACCCTCCCGTCTTGGAATCACCCAAGCATAAATCACACTAAACAATTGTCTACCTCATCCCTTTCCCCTCACTCTATTTATAACAAACCCCTTATATCTAATTTCTTAGCTAATTACTAACATACCCTTACTATTCTATTAATATCCCTAATTACCAGACATTCTTATCAGGTTGATGGAGACAACAAAAACTGGGAAGATTTTGTAATATTAGTATGCTCATCAAAAGAGCCTGGTGTTTTTTGAGATTAAAGGGTTGTTTGTCTGACGAAGAATATGTCTAATATTTGTGAATGATGTTAGCGATATTCTTCGGGTTCTATTAGAAACTTCTTTATATTATTGAAGGTTGAGGAAGTGAGGTTCAGAGCCTAAAGGTAAACCAACTTTTTGATGGTCAGGTTTGATTAAAGGCATGGTTACTTCCTTTTGTTCAATAGGAAGGCTGCTAGGTTGGCCTTGGTTGCCACTTGATTCTGACCCAAAGCCCTACGATGGTTCAAATGTTTTCTGAATTTCAATAGTTCATTCTATTCTTTGGCCGTGTAGTTTAGTTATCTTTACCTGATGCAACGATTTCATTGCAGTGCTTTTCATTTTGGTGAGTCAGTGGTTAAGTTATGGTTCGCACGGGATGTTTGAGCATTCACAATTGGTTGGAGGGACATGGTCGGGGGCTTATGCCGCTTTGTGCTTCTCATGCGGTTATTTTGCGTATGATCAGTGGGATATGTTGCTGTACCAATTATATAGCGGCTGGATCCCTGCAATCTTGGTTCATCATCTGGTCCTCCTCATTTGCTTTACGCTTGCTTTGTATAGGAATGTCACCATCAATTATCTCATTCTCACTCTCATTTGTGAGGTATGCATTAGTTTCTCCTTGCAAGATGTGTCCTATGAATATGCTGCTTTCTTTCTGTTTATGATCCGTGTCGGATTGTTTATGATCCTTGTCAGATTTAAGTATTTCTGTTCTGCCATTGACATGAATAGATACTTAGATGAAGAGTTTATTGAATTTGACATAGCCACAAAGATGAGGTTTAAGTATTTTAGGTCCTTTTTGGATTTATCTCACTCCTCCAAAAAGAAGTAATGAAAGATGCTTAATCAAAGTATTTGTGGCTCCAACGCCTCATCTTAATCTCTCATGGCACAGACTTTCTCTAACTTTTTTCTCTACGTAATCTCTCTCACTAACTTCTCTTTCCATCCATCCTTTCTCATCAATCTTTCTTTACACAATTTCTGTCACTAATTTTAGCTTTTCTCTACGCACATTTTCTCTCACTAGCTTCTCTTTTATACTTTCTATTACTAGCGTCTCTTGTTGTACACACTTCTCTCACTAGTCCATCTTTATGCAATTTCTTTCACTAGTCTCTCTCTACACACTATTTATTACTAGCCTCTCTCATTGTATACACTTCTCTTACTAGTCTATATTTACACTGCTATTTCTCGCTTGTAATTGCTCACACATACACCCTATTTATGTAATGCTCAAATCAAGTAGAACATGTCTTCTTAATAGTTATCTTAGTTAAGCAAATGCAAGAGAGCGAGTTCATAGTTTCTTTGCACGTTGGGAAGGACTCTGTAGGCAGATCAATTTTTTCCTGTCATATTTTACTTCCAATTCTTGATATGCAAGACTGAAACAAGAATCATTATGGTGTTACAGTTGCATTCTATCTTTCTCCACGTAAGGCGATTGCGGAGGATGGCTGGTGTTCGTGACGCGAAGAGCATTGTCGTGAAAGTCGAATGGATTCTGAACTGGCTAACGTTTGTTTTCGCAAGGGTTGTACCGCACATTCTCATCACTGCTAAACTTGTCGTGGATGCTTCCAAGTTCGATAGAGGCGTAGAGCTGCCGCTTGCACTGTCTGGGATGGCTGGCATGAACCTGCTGAATGCTTTTCTTGGCATTGATCTCATCAACGCTGTAAAGAAAGAGAGTAAGTACCAGAAAAGAGATCACCCTCGTCGTGAATGAAGTAGAAGATATGTAGAAGACAGAAGCCCACAAGGTGGAAATTGTATTTGTTCTTTTTATGATATTATAGGAAAATAATTAATAGTAAAAGATTCAGTCCTTTCCTTTTAAGAGAGAAAACGATTCAGTCAAAATTTATGTAACACGGAATGCAAGTTTGTGTAAAATCAGAATTGTATTAGTTAAAAGAATATAAGGAATATTCGGATAAAAAAGTCATGGTTCGAATCTTCATTCCTACTTATTATTCTAAACATCAATAATAATTTTTTTTCGAGACTAATAATATTAGAGTTAAATTACTTTTTTAATCATTTAACCTTAATCTTAATCAAGTTTGCTCTGTTGTTCAAAATTTTATTACTGTGGTCTACAGTTATTAGAAAACTTAATATGATAAGCTAAGATGGTAATTTATGAGTTTTTTTCTTTAGAAAGGAAAAGAAAATTAAACAAGTTATAGAAATGCATTGGTATTATTGGTTGTAATTATGATAATTTCAAAATCTTGTTAAAATACTGTTGGTATAAGAATGAAAAAGATCTCCATCTTTATTATTTTACAAAAAAAAGTTGAATAAAAACATGAGTTTAATCCGACGATGTTTAGCGTGAGAAGTTCATCTCCAAAAAAATAGGGTTTTTTAAGAGTGTTAAAAAAAGGTCCCACCGGGAGTCGAACACAGGTCGCCGCATTCAAAGTCTAAAGTGCTAACCACTACACCATGGAACCCTTGATTGTTAATCCGAGAAGCAAAATACTACAGAATATTTTATTTTTTAATGTAAGTGCAATAGCACATATTTTATTTTACTTCTTCCAAATAATTTAATCGAGCACTAGCAATTATTCATGAGAAATTCATCTCACATACAGATGGCACAAAAACCCGTGGGAACCAGTCCCCGATCAGGGAATCCCCGTTCCAAAAATTTAGGTCCCCAACGGAGAGGGGATGGGGATGGCCCCAACCCCACCCCGCTCCGTTGTCATCCCTAAATTCTCGCATAATTAAGGGAGTTATTCAAAGGTGACTAAAATACCAAAAAGGGAGACCCTTAACGAATGATAGAGACAAGAACATTTTTCAATTGATTTATGACTGCGTTCTTTCATGATATGATGAACAAGGATTGGACGTATGTGTCGATGACATGATCGATAAGTCTTGAGCAGAAGGAAGAAGACCCCATCTTTTGAAGACAATGTAATGTTTATTAGGGTGCTTTTCAAATGCTCAACTTCTCCCAGAGACATGCAACAAGGCTATAAAATCAATTCAGTTGAAAGCCTAAGTTAAGAAGGTAGGGAAGCCAGTAGTTATTTTATTTTTTATTTTAAAAATTAAATTTGTAAACCTTATGTTTTTCTGAAACCAAAATCTAAGTCAAATTTGAACACTAAAAAAATCATTTTCAAAATTTTGTTTTTAGAATTGGGCTAAAAGTTTAAATGCAGTTTTAAGAAATCTAAGAATATATTAAAGAAACTGTCACTAAATAACCTATTTCAGAAGCCTTTATTACCAAGTACAATTATGAATACTTCCTCTTTTTTCTTATTGCTGAAAAAGTATCAGTATAAAGAGCTCTTCTCATTGCTGGGTTGAATTAATTTTTTAGAACCATCAAATTTGGCCTATTTGACAATGTCCTTTCTTACCTCCTCTTTATTTTCCCATTTTTTTTGGAAGAAATTTTCTTAATGCTAATGGAAAGTAAGCACCTTTAGAATTTAGCTGTAACAAAATCTATTAAAAAAATTTTTGCGATATAACAAAAATATCTTGTTCACAATTCCACAAAAGTTATATCAAATAATATACCAGTAATAATACAAATAGTAATGCGGTTTCCATTTTCTTTAGAAACTTTAGGGGGAAAAAAATTAAACACATTGGCAGAACATTTCTCAATGGGGCATGGGAAAAAAATTTTAAATAACCAGGCCAGAGGGCAAACAAAAGAAAATTCTGGCCATTTTTGCAGCTAGAAACAAGTGTACAAGTCAATGTGAAGATTGAAAACACTCATCTGCAATAAAACAGCATTTTATCAGCAAATTCAAGATGCACAAGAACTAAGCTGTTTAATAAAGTCACTATTTTTGTTTTACTGTACCATCATTGTCTTTAAACACCATTTGCATTCCTGACTAAATTTCTAGCTTTATCCCACTCTTGGTTCTAGAGAAAAATTTTGCAAAACCATTTCGGTTTTTCTCAGAATTGACGACATGATTCGTGATCGATGATGTTGATGAAGACGAAGACGGGGGCGAGTCGTCTTCATTCTTACTCATTGATGGTTCAGAATTGTCATCAACTACTTTTGAATAGTCTGAATCTCTTTTGGGAGAATGCGTCCCGTTCTGATGCTGGCATTGCTCCTCACCAATGGTGAACTCCGGTAGCTGTGTCGTGTCTATCAGAAAATCTTCCAGTGCTGCTAGAGATTTAAGCTGATTCCCAAGAGAGGCTATTGTCTTCTGACACTCAGCAAGTTTCCCAGCAGCTACAGCTAGATCCTCCTGCAATTTTACCCCCACAATTAGTTTTCAACTTACTCAAATTATGCATATCAAAAAATGATGATAAGTATAATCTTAGACAATAAAATAAAAACATAGTGTTGAATGTTGATAGTTAAAGCCAGCTATAAGGTTTTACCTGCTTTATCTTCAATTCATTTTTGGAGCTTTCACTTTGTGATAGTTTTTCATCCTGTTTAATTCTTGAAAGCTCTTCTTCTAGTTCCTGGCACTTGACTGTCATTGCCAATGCTGAAGCTCTCTCTTTCTGAATATCAGATTCCAACATGCCAACCTTTGCAGACATGGTCAGAACTTCTGCTTCCATGCTGATGAGTTGAGACTCAATTCTGAGCTTTGATTCATTCGCAATGGTGAGCTCATTCTGCAACTTCTCCAATTCCATTTCTGTTTCCTTGAGTTGAATTTTTGAAATGTCAACAAAGTTCTGACTCTGGCTTAAAGCTGCCTCCATTTCAGCTCTCTCTGCCTCCAACTCCAGTAATTTCTCTCCCATTTCAACTCTCTCTGCTTCCATCTTCACTAACTTCTGCCCCAATTCCGATTTCTCTGTCTCTGTCTTTGCCAACGTCCGGTTCACTTCAGCTCTCTCTATTTCCATCATCTCTAACCTTTCCTCCATTACATCCTTCTCTATTTCCATTTGTTTTAGCTTCTCTTCCAGTTCAATCTTTGCTCCTTCCATATTGCACAGCTTCTCTTCCATTTCAGATCTCTCATGCTGCAAGGTCTCGAGCTCAGTTCTCATGGAACTTTCTTCAGTAGTTGGATGAGCAGAAGCTTCTGATTCTTGGCAACGCTTTCCATTATCAGGTTCGGGTAACGAAGCAAGCCTCTCCATCTCAAGAAAATCATCCATGAGATCAAGTTCAAGAGAAGAAGGAAGATTACTGCCAACAGGGTTTAAGGTCGACGCCCATGAGTCTGAGCAACTAGGCTCGCATTTGTTTCGTTCAGTCCTTCTTGTATCAATATCTACTACGCTAAGCTGCTCCCCATTGTCTGATTGAGTGTCGGTAAGTGAGTCGATAGAGATTATCGAAGCAGCTATGGATTTATGATCATTAACCAAGGATGGTTTGGACGACATTACTCTTAACCTACGACACTCGGCTTCGAGCTTGGCCATTTTCTTTATGCTCTCAAGATGCTGCTTACTGGCTGTTTCAGCTGTTTGTGTACTCAAATCCCTCTCAATTGTCCTGGCTTCCAACTCCCTATATTGAGAATGGAGCTCATGCCTGAGGGCTGCATTCTCTCTTTTCAATGACTCAAGCTTCTTGCCAAGGCTAGGATCAGCTTTAGGAGATTCAGATTGAGCAGCATCTGCTTTGCTCCGAAGCTCAAGGAGTTGCCTCTCGAGTTCCGCCTTCGTGGACTCCCAATCACGGGTTTTTTCCTCCACAGCGTCACGAACCTTCTGCTCTTGCTCCTCCCTTGCTTGCCTAAGTTGCCTAACACATTCTTTGAGGGCCCCATCAAGGTGGCTCACTCGATCTTCCAATGCTGACTTCTGCTGAACTGTAGTCCCGAGCTGCTGTTTTATAAGTCCGACTTCATTTTCCGCCTTTTCCCAGCCTGAATTAACATTAGAAATAGCAGAATTTGAATTAGCTCTCGAAAACAAGAAGTGATAATAAAATCCTACTTGTATGACTTTGAAGATCATGCATCAGATTCTGCTTTTCCATAAGAAGAAATAAACAAATTTCATTTGCCTAATTCTACCTGCAATAGCTTCTTCAGCAACTTTAGCATGCTGCTTTACCAAGTCTTCTTTTGCCCTCACATTCAAAAGAGCAGCTGATAACCTCTCGCTGAGATTTTTCACACTATCATTGGTATCTTCTTGTTTCGGTGAATCATCATCAATGTCCTCCTTACATACTGCTTTTGACGTTACTTCTGGCGATTGAGTCTCGTGATTAGGAGACGACTTGGCTGCATCCTGTTCGTCAATAAGCATGGGTGTGTTAAGCCAAATTATCAAACGTTTTGAAAGAGGATGAGATTGCAATCAGCCCAGTATACATGAAGCCCATATTTTCAATAGTGAACACGCCATTTTTTCACCATAAGTGGCAAGAGAGTAAACGTCAAAAGTCATAGGAATTCAGAGGGATAAGAACTCAGTCACAATGTTTGGCTCATAGTCTTCATAAATAATCATCAAAACAAATCTGGAGTTGGGAAATAACTCTAATCTATACTTTAAATTACTATGCATGATAAAATGCATATTTTATAGGTTAGGTTAATTTTTTCTTATGGAAAACAAACCTTTCCTGAGAAACATAAAATACGGGCATACAAAAAAAAACCCCCGCAAAAAAGAAGGGTTTAAAGCTTAACTAAGCAAAAACGGACTCTAAATCTAAAAGAATAAGACCTAGTTGATGGCCTAATAATTACAAAAAGACTTAGAAACAAACGACCACAAAGAGATATTAAATCCAACGACATCTCAAACCTCTTCCCACGATCTCATAGCCCGTCTAGAAGTTGTACCATTCCTCACTGGTCAAATGCCCCACAAAATAGAAAAGAAAGAAATCGTGCCAAAGGACCTCTAAACTTAAAGGTTTAAGTTAATGAACCTAGAATTGGATAACCCACACCCTAAGATAGACAAGCTCATCTATCAAACATAGGCTGTTAAATTTCTTCACTTTGGGTTACATAAATTTATCCTGTGAGCCAAACCCCTAAAGAAAGTCAGCTTCCTTAATAACTGTAAAAGGTAAAAATATATATATATATCAGCCATTCAAATCTTCATGAACACCAATCAAAGGACAATCCAATTGAAGTTGTCCCAAACCGGTCAAGGGAAACACTCTGCCCACAAGATAAGAACCTAAGGGTTTCTTTTGTCTTCTACAAGCAGCCCCACCAGAGCATTTCATTGTCAGTTAAGTACTTAAAACACATTCTGCTTTATTAAGTCTCTTTTTTCCACTAATGATAGAAACGCATTGAGGAACAGAACAATATTATTAACCATATAATGCATCAAAGCCCATGCCAAGTGACAGGAAAGACTTGCAGCTTGTCTGATACGACGACGGCGAGAGGAAATTAAATCAGGCAAATCGAAGGAAACAGAACATATATCTAGGAATGATGACATCCACACATCGCATACAAGTTTTGAGGTGCCCTTTTCATCTCAGCAAGAAATAAAACTATTTCAACTGTATCTTTATCTCCAAGAGTTTGAAATGTACAACCACCCGAGAGATCTTGCTCTACTAAAAGAATGAATCTCTCCAATAAAATTCATTGTGATGATATCATAAGAAAAAGGAAACACTCATTCTATTTTACATAATTCCATGATGTTTCCTGCAAATCCTTAAAACTCAGAACAATTTGCGAAACTATCAATGGGGATGTTTCAACATGGTGTTTCTAAGGGTTCATTTTTGTACCTGCTCGTCGGAATATCTCTCAGAATATGATGACATTGAACCAGAACTTTCGGTTTCTCCCGGGCTCTTATCAGATGACTTCCTCTTCCATGGCCATTTTCTTCTTTCCATCCTAATGTCCTATTTCCAAATCCGTCCACTGGTCAAAGCGCCATCTGCAGACATACATACGCACACAGTTATTTAGAAACCCAATACGAATCAGCTTCAAAATTTGCAAGAAATACTGTAATTGCTTGTAGCTTATATGAGAGTTCAAAGCAAAGTAGCAAAGAGAAAAAGAGAGAGATATTCACATCCTATCTAACGACACTAAAGTTTGTAGACGGAGAGATGACTTGGGTTTTCATTTTTTCAACTTTGCTTCAAATCCACCCCAAATATCATCCCACCCAACAGCAAGTAAATGACGGAAAAGGGTTTCTGCTAAGCAAAAACCCCATCAATTTTCAAATATATATATAGTAGGTAAAGGTAAAGACTTCGGAATCAATCGATCAATGGTTTATAAAAAGAAGAGCTATCATAGAAGAGACGATAAAATGAGAAAGGGAAGAAGAAGGGAGAAGAAGGACAACCAAAATGACAAAATCCTTCAAACATTGATGAAATAGTGGATGGTGTCAAGAGACGGAAACAATTTTATTCGAAATGAAAGCGAAACATCAAATCTAAAAAGCAAAAGGAGAGAAGAAATACAAAGCCCCTCTTTTCCTGGGAGGGGTCGTGAAAAAATTGAAAATAATTCAAGGTTTCAGCAGAGTTTGAACAAGAAATTATAGAAATCATCAAAAGGAAGAAGACCCCAGATGAAATTTTACCTTTGACCAGAATTAAAAAAACCAAAATCGAGTTTAATCTGCAGCGTTGGGAGAAAACAAACAAAATGGAATCCCAGGGAAGCGTTTGGGGTTTAAGAGTTGAGGAAGAACAGAAAAAAAAACGAACAGCTAGCTCTGCAAAAATCTGTAGAATGTCTGCAGATATGCAGGAAAACAAACAGCGAATTAGCAGATAATTGGGGGTTCCGTTTCTTGTTTAATTTTAATTTCTTGTGCTGCTTCTTTTCACGCTGGTAGCTTTCAAATATTGAAAAAGCAGAGAGAGAAAGAGAAGGAGAGAGAGAGAGAGAGAGCATGTGATTGGGGCATATGGTAGTGTGAAATTCAAGAATGGGGCCTCAAAAGAAATTCAGTAGTCAGCTTTTTTGTTTTCTATAAACCAAGAAGGAAAAAAAGAGACAAATTTGTATTTTCTTTGTTTGGTTTATATATTTTGAAATATGGCTGCTGCTGCTCGTATTCCCGCCCATGACTCACAATCTGGTTTACCTCCATTATTCTTTTTTGGCCTCTCTGTTACTGTTTATGGAATTAGATCACAACAAAAATATCTCAAATTAGAATTCAATTAAATTAATTATTTCCATAAATGGGATTAAATCAGTCAAGTGAATCAAAAATCATGTTTTAAAATGCGAACCTAACTTAATTATTTACTTATTATATCTTTTAAGATTGAATGTTGGATCTCCTACCTTCACATTTGGTATAATTTGTTTTACTTTTTTATGTAAAATAGTTCTTCTTTTCTTGAGAGAAATTCAAAGTTACGTAGTTGTTTACTATTAAATTATATTTATAAGAAATAATTATTGTTTTTCTGTCAAATCTTTGTAAAGTAATTTTAAATTTTAAATTGCTTGCATTCAAAAATAATAATTATTATTTTTATATCATTTACTAATATTTGTTAGTACAATATACTGGGAGGATTCATTTGTTATATTATTTATGCTTATAATTAATAATTTTTGAACATATTTTTTTGGCAAAAAATCCAACATAAAATTAACTACATTATTGTGGTAGCACCAATCCGACTATAGTCAAGTGGATAAAGTACATATTATCATTTTAATAATTAACAATTACATATAGTAGCTTTTATTTATAGATGGAAGACTCTTTAATTGTAACGTAATATCTAATTTATTATTTCATATTATTATATTTTTAGAAAAGATTCAACTTACCACCTTTTCAAGTTCTTAATTGTACTTAAAAAAATCCTATTTTTAAACGATAAAATAGTGTCAATTTATTAAGATCAAAACAATTTTTTTATATATTTTAAATATAATATATATAAACAAATTGAGTCGTATAAAGTCATTTTCGTTATTCGAATTTGATTTTTTATTCTGAAACTTCAATAATTATGAAGTATGGAATCCAACCATAGATCCACACAAGTCATATTGACATTGGAATTTGAATTTGAATTATTTCAAACTCAATATTAGAAATGTTAATAAAAAGGCATATCATAATTACTATCGAAGATCGGGCAAGAGGAGCGTGTAACGTTGCCCGGTGAAAGCGAAATATCAGCTCCCCGTCACCTCGTAAGTCGGTGACGCTAATTTATTATTAGAAAGCTAAATCCAATTCCAATTTTTAAAAGCCAACTCCCATTGGTTAATTCAAATTTTAGGATTAATTGGTCTTTATTTTAAATAAATAAAGAAAGAAAAAACGGAATCTTCTTTTATGCGAGATTGGAATTTATTGCTGCATTGAAGTTACAGTATAGCATGAATAATTGGCAATTATTACTTATTTGTCATAAATATTATTTTCTTGTTTTCATTGTATATTATCAAATTTTGAATAATTAATGGTAATCCCGCATTCTCTTCTATTGTATTCATCTAATTAAAGTATGATTGCACTATTTAAATTTTAAGAATACTATTTTTATTTCTTTACCTTTCCAATTCAGCTGAGATGAGCGGATAATTCTAACTTTACAATTCAAATGTTATCATACAAATTTTAAATATTAGTCCATATAGGTATAGTTTTGAGAGAGTTTACTATTTATATATTCAACTAACCATTCTCGCATTTGTTATACTAACAAAAAAAAATATTAGTACTTTAACATAATTTAGATCTATAATTTCAAAATATAACAAAATATATATACATGTGTGTGTATATTAAGTTTAACATTCATCCACAATTCAAATGATATCAAGTTTAACTTAAAAGCTTGATGAAATTGTAAAATTAATATCATATTTGAGACAAAGCTAGATATTATAAATAAATAGAAAAAAAAGTCAAATCATATGTGCGGACTCTAGAACAGAAGTTCATACATTCACGAAATCATCATACGTGTATATATATATATATATATAGTTCTAATAAAACATTGTTTCCATCGGATTGGAATCAAACATATAAGTTCATAGCAAGACACTTGTTACTTTATTTTAAGTTAATGTAGTAGCAGCAAGACACTTGTTATTTTATTTTAATTCGTTGATCTCACATCCATTAAAAATATTTACAATATTTTATTTTATTAAAATAATGAGAATAATAACATTCACGAAGGACAATTGTCTCATATAAGACAGAGGTACGAGAGGGAAATAGCTCGAAAAGGATCAGAAGTATATTTGAATTAATGGTACAAACTAATCCTTTATATTCTCGGTCCTCTTTATAAAAGAGGAGTCAAGGGTTTAACTTTGATGAAATTAAATTCGACATAACTGACTCGTTAAACATATTTCTATAACTATTTGTTTCAACCTCATTCGTCGGCTTCATGGTTATTTTATTTATTTTTATAAAAAATACCTCATTAAGAAACAAGAGAACAATTAAGAGGTAAAGATAGTCAGCCACTTCAGGAAATCAAACTCCCAATAATTACTTTCCTCAAACTCAAGAGCCATACACCCAAGGGAGTGGACACAACAATTATCCCTCTCTGTCCACCTTACTGAGACATGATACATGACAAGGATTCTTCAAACTCAAGATTGTTCAATAGATGGAAAATAGTATGGGAAATGGATTAAACTCCATGCGTTGTGACTATAAATATTAAAATTCTCGTTAGTTTCATTTTCTTGCACGTCTACCTTTTTTCATATGTATTTGAAAAATGTGCAGTTGTGTAATTAAAATGATAAATTTAAATGGGTTTTACTTCATTGCCTTTCCATTGCATCTAACTTATTTCATTCATTGAATTTGTTGCATATTAAGAGACATAAGCTTTTAAAATGTACATATTATTTGTCACTAAGCCCGCGTTATCTTTTTTTTTTTTATTCTATTTATTTGTTACAAACAAAAAAAAAGGAAAAAAAAAAGAACAGGAAGGTCCAAAGAAGGAGAGCAACAGAAAAGCAGGTAGGAGTTCACGTGGTGGTGGATGATTGATGAAAAATGAAAATATCGACAAAGGAAAGGAATTATTTCAAATTCCATCTTCAATATTTTAATATATTTAATTTCAGGTATAAAAAAAAAAATTTAATTTCACCCCTAAAAGCACTCAATCCGCATGTTTCATTTAGGGGCCGTTTAGGTAGGGGTTTACTGGGTGGAAAATGGGCATGGATAAGAAGACTATAGTCTATTATTCCAACTATGAATCCCTATAATGAAGTTTTACATTTCAATTGAACTTTTTTTTATTACAATATATGGAAGAGAGAATTTAAATTAACGACATTGATAGCGGAAGATAAGTGTCTTAATCGATTGAGCTATGCCCTCAATTGAACTTTTCACATTTTTAATTAAAAATGTAAAATAAACCTCATCGGAAAGTTTTCAGTTAAAATAACTACCTAATTCTTTGAATTATAATATTATTTTTGTAGCTATAAAATTATGGGATTGGCAATTAAACCATTGATTTGAATGGTAATAGATTTTTTTATCCACTAAATCACGTTCAAATTGATTGAAAAAATATTAGAACATTGCATAGAAGATCGTCGTCAAATTATATATTCTAACCTGGATATACATTTTTTAGGAAAGATTTTAAAAATAATGTGATTTCAAAATTATTTAAAATTTACCATATATTATTTGTAGAATTCTGACTAAACTAAATTATCACGAGACAAACTATATGCTCACAAAATAATCCTTCAAAATGATAATTTTAAGCAAAGAGTCTCTTGATAAATTCTCTCTCCAAAGAACATGATATGCTAAAAATCGTGTCTCTAACGCGCGACTTATGTTGAAATTAGACAAAAGTACTACATACATATTTACCAATATGTTGAAAATAACAAAAAAGGGAGAATATTGTATATATATTTTGAAATATTTTGAAATAACAAAAATGCAATCTGTCACCATCTCCATGGCCCAATAGTATTTCTCCAACCAACCTATCCATAACTTCATGGTCGACTCTATCCGTCCAAATATTTTTCATTATCAATTCAAAGTTTCATATCACAAAAATATCTTACTATTAATCATCATAAACAGAATAAATATATTTTTGACAACATAGACAGCGGTAATTGACATATTCGAAATGGGAGATTTAATCCCCCATATACTCATGATACTGGCAATTTTACCATTATAATCTTATCAAGACAGAGTCGAATTGAACTCTATTTCGAGATACAATGGTCTTTCCTCCTTATCTTTAACGTGTCCAACCTAAGGTTCAGATACCTCAACGGGGAGTACACCTGCGTATATCTAAGTGACTTTTTTTTTTTTGAACTTCATTCAACGTAACAAAAGAGTCGTCAAGGCAACAACATTTTGACAGTCAGCTTTAACAAGATTAAGAAGCCGACTGGGGAAACTATTCAATCATAAATAAGGTCTCCCCGTTACAAAGGGTTCCCTTGCCAAGAAATGAGCCACTTTGTTTGACTCTCGAACGAATTGACCAGCTGTTTCACATCATCCACCCACGTCGATTCCTCTCATTGTCAAACAGTCGCATTAGAGCACAAACGAATGGTCATCACTGAATCTGATTCGACCTCCACCTTTCTCAGCCCTAGGCGACTCGCCAAATGCAACCCCTTCCTAATCACCAAGATTTCAGCTAATAGAGGAGAAGCCACCGTGTGCAAATCGACCAGGGCCGCCTGAATTTCATTCTTATCATTCCATATCAGCACCCCAATTCCAGATATGTTCCCCACAATCGAAGCATCTGAGCGAATCTTCATAGCACCCATAGGCGGAGGAACTCAGACAGCTTGACGAGAAGAGATCCCCTTTTTCGTGCTTGGAATCGGACAAATTGATGAATTGAAGTGTTCCATGTAGTCTGAGGTAATATCTAAGTGACTTGGTCTCTTAACATGTAGAACACTCAAGATTATAGTTTTCAATTATTTTATTTTGCATTTTTTCTTCTTTAATTACTACAGGCTTAGCTCTCTCTTTGTTGTTTTTGTTTTTTTGTTTTTTGTCCTTTTTTTTCTCCGAGTAAATGCCTCGTGGATGCAGAAAAACTGAGGTTACGAAACAGCTTGCTGTCAGTTCAAGTAATTTTGAGAAAAGTGGGTGCTCAAGCCTCAATGAATAAAATAAAATAATAAGAAGCTATTTAGGTGGGAGGTTTTGGGTCTATTTATTTACGGGCAGTGGGTCACATTCATATTTCGCTCAATAGTGAATATACCAAGCCACTCAATTGGGATTGTGAATTGGGCTTTCTTTAGTTAGTTTTTCCTTTTAATTACCAAAAAAAAAAAAATGACTATTACATGATGATCGCAACATTTTGCTTTTTGTACCCTTGCAATATATATATATTGCTTTTTATATTTATTTTTCTAACAATTTAATTCTTATACTCTCAATTCTAAAAGATATTATAATTGATTTCTAGGATTGAAAATATTGTTGAATGAACAAGTAATTGAACCACTTTGATTTTAATTTTGTAAGGTGTATTTAGTTTCATTCCTTTGTCAATTTATCAAGTAAAAGATAACTATTTTAAGTTATTAATTGAATTGATACATGTGGTAGGAAGAAAACAAGCCCTATAAACTCATTCATAAAAGTTGGTAAATCTTATCAAAGTAACAATCTATAGGTCATAGAGGGATATAATTTGTAAGTTACAAATCGAGAGATGGAGATGTCAATTGGGGAATTAGTCTGAATACAACGTTTCATCTCAATCCATGTCCCTACAAATTATTCTCTCTTTTCCTAAAATCCTCATTAAAAAGTTGGAGTGCGCTAGACCTTCCTATTATATTAGTAAATATCGAATGAATTTTTTTCTTTCTTCCTCCCGCGCGATCGATTGATCGTTTCAATGTCTATAATTTGAGAGGTAACTAGCTAGAATTCTTAAACGAGAGGACGTGACAGGGATAATGGGACGACATCGTCTTTATATTATTTCTTTTTGGGTAATGGGTTAAGGGCTAGGCAAAAAAGCTGAGGGAGGTTGTTAGGCATAGGGAAGCAAGAAAGAAAAGAAGATTCACTATATGAGGGGCACTATGGGAACCAAGCACAATTATTGGGCGTTGCTTCAGCCTCTCCTTTGTCATTCCAATCATTCATGTTTCTATAAAGTCAAGGACCAACAGTTCTCATGAATCTTTCAATATCTCTCCCCACAGTTATTAAAAAAAAAGTAGAATTTTTTATTTTGCGATGGGCCGGTGTGGTGCTGTCTTGTTGGGCCCATAGGCCCATTAGATATATGGACCGGGTCTGGCCAGTTGGGTTGAGCCGGTCTATCTTGGTATAATTCCTACATGCGTATCTCCGGAATGTATGCGATTGGGATCTTCTAGAAACTCAAGCAACCTTACAACTTACATATTTTCAAATAAATTTGTTTCCTTTCCACACAGATGAAAACAAATTAAAGGTGAATGAGACTTCATACTATAAACTAAAATAAATAGACTACACGGTTCATTTACAAAAATAAATAAAGAAAGAAAAAAAAGGAAAGAGAGAGAAACTACATAGTATATAAGCAGTGATATAATATCAATCATATAGTAATACTTAGATTTAAATCCCACTTCTTAATTTTTAAAATTATTTGTCTAAAATTTTAAATTTAATATCATTTGGTCTTTGAATTTTTAGAATGTCTACTTTAGCTCATAAACTAAAAAAACAATTATTTTAATTCTCACTATTATATTGATATTACGGGTTACTATATACTTGAATCATATGGATAGGTTGGCGAGGTTTGTTAAGGTAAGTAGCTAGCTAATATAAGGTAATAAAATCACTACATTAAAATAAAATATTTTTAAGAATTTAGTAACAAAAATAAAAGATGTAAACCTAAAATTTCAATAGGAAATTTGTAATAAGAACTAAAAATATATGTTATATTTGTAAATATAGCAACAATTTCGATTTCCCAAATATGAACAAATTTATGAAAATATGGTTTTCGAATTTTTAGTTATTTTGATTTTACCATATCCTCGAAGATTTTGAGATCTATCAAACATTAGTATATCAACACTCATAATCAGCTAATCAATGTTATTGATTTTTTTTCAATGGTATAAAAAATTATGTATATCAACTATTCATACATTTAGATCGTAAAAGACAAGCATTTAATCTAAAATTTGTAAATAACCACGATACAATTCAATAATAAAAACTCAACAATAGTAGAGCGAAAAATAAAGAAAAAAAAATAATATATCATCATTGGTTTATAACGGTATATCAACACTTATGCTTATAATCCAATATCTAATTGGATAATATATCAAATTAGATATGTATATCAGGAATATCAGTGTTTGGACTCTATATTCATTAAACTTATATTAAACTTTTACTTTTTGCTACTGATGCAAATGCGAAGGCCCCATTTTAATATTATTTCTTATAAGTAGTACAATATAATTGGAGTCCAAGGGGGAAAAAATAAGCATGTGAGAAAAAGAGAGCATAAAATGAGCCGATGAATGTCAAGTGGTCATAAATGAACCAGATGTGTTAAGGTTGTGGGGAGAAAGAAGTTGAACATTATCTCAGCATCACAAAATTTAAACGACGACGTGTCACTCTAGTCGCCGATCCTTGAACTCTCCCACCACATCCACGATCCACCCTTCACCATACACTCAAATCCCCACTCTTTCTTTAAACGCCATCCAAAATCCTCTCCCATTTGCTTCAACTCCAGCCAAATTATTAGCAATATTTTTCGAAAGCGGCGGCGGTGGTGCCTGGTGGTTAATTAATGGCGGCTCAAACCATGCTGCTGACGTCCGGTGTGTGCGCCAGTCACGGCGTGGGTGCGAAGCGTGAAGCCGCTGCTCTGGCGCAGAGGCTCAGACCTAACGCCCCATTGGCTCGCCTCTTTTTCGATCCGTCGCCGTTGCCGTGCTCGCCGGCGCGTGGATTGACGACTCTCGCGGTTTTCAAGTCCAGAACCAAAGCGACTCCAAAGAAGGTGATTAATTATACGACACATCGGATTTGAGGATTTGCACTTTGCAGTGCCGTTTCTTGGTTTGGTTAATTAATTGCGTGTGTGTGTGTGTGTGTGTGTGTGTATGTTGTTTTAGGTTGTGAAGCCGAAGCAGAAGGTTGAAGACGGCATTTTCGGGACGTCCGGTGGGATTGGTTTCACTAAGCAGAATGAACTCTTCGTCGGTCGTGTCGCCATGATTGGCTTTGCTGTGAGTATTTCGGTCATTTTTCTCTCTCCCATTTCCCCTCGGTTCAACTGATTAAAGATTAAACTAGAGAGAACGGTTGGATTTTGCGTCTTCACTTTCCTAACCTCTAAATTTGTCTCATAAATGAGATTTTGAGCTTAATTTAGTGGACAAGGCACAAAATTATCTAATTTCTAGTAAATTTTGAATTCTTCCCAACTTGTTGTATTAAAAAAAATGTATAATAAGTTGAAAAATACTTAAATTCCTACCGACAAATAGGAAACGGAATGTTGTATTCACCGCTATTAAATATTTCAAGGTTAAGAAAGATAAATATAAAATAGACTTTTTCTAAAAACAAAAAGAATATATTGAGTTGCTAAGGACAAGATTTGGTCCAGTAAAAGCTAACAAATTTTAATTTTTTACAGGAAAAATATATGAGCAATCTTGTTCTCACACACCATTGACTGATTGACAATCAAATAGATAAATGTAAAAATAAAATTATTTTTTAAAAATAATTGATTGTCAACTTTGAATAGTGGTGAAACTATTTTTTAAAAATAATTGATTGTCAACTTTGAACCGTGATGAGGACAAGATTTGTTCCTACGTATTTTTTCCATGTATAACAGATTAGTGGAGTTAAAAATAGTCTAATAAATTTGCTAACTTTGAAATTTCTAGAATCATTAAATATAAATTTAAAATTTTAAGTATCTATTAAATATAAAATAGGAAGGACAAATATTTATTAGAGGTAACTTTGAATATTAGATATATTTTAAAGTTAAACAATTTATTAGAGAAACCAAAATTATGATTTATTTAGTTATAAATAATATTATTTATGACCACAATTTTAAAATGATAAAATTTTTCTTAATTATAAAATTTTTAATTCTAGGTAATTTTATTAAGTAAATAATGTTGTCACGTATTTATTTTTCTGAAAATCAGTTAATTTAATATAATGTGGTAGATAGGTATCATATACAACATATTTTATTTTTGCCTGAAAATACTTAGATATATTTACCAGCAACCAATCGACACCTACTAAAAATTTGAAATTCTTTAAAATATATATGAAATATATTTTATCTATCTATATTTCTCTTTCATACATGTCAAATTTTAATGGTGGTAAGTAAAATGTTGGTATTGAGCGATTGGCATCTAAATATTGTTTATTTTATATATAACTACTTTAATTTGTTTGGTTGTTGCCATACCATTAAATTAGTCAATTAAAAAAATATTTTTTAGCATAGTTGGGTAATTAAACATCTCTGGACTCCTGACGTAACATTCTAGGAAAAGCAATTATTACATAAATTTATTAATCAAATCTAAAAACATGGTTGAAACTTCTTTTAATATTTAAGAACTACAATCCACCGGTATCTATAAACTCAATTTATAATTTACCCAAATAAAATCAGAGTGTAGAGAAACAGTTGGGATAATAAAATAGGGAGTTTATAATTCGAAAGGTTTAAAAATTGTCTTTAAACTTATATAATTTACCTTTTAAATTTATATATTTAAGTAATTTCTAACTATAAAAAGGTTAAAGAAAGAACTCTGAAATTCAAATTCTGTGAAACACATGTGAAGTTTAAAACCCAACTGATGTGCAGGCATCTTTACTGGGAGAGGGGATCACCGGAAAGGGAATTCTAGCGCAATTGAACCTGGAAACTGGAGTTCCGATTTACGAGGCGGAGCCTCTTCTTCTGTTCTTCATCTTATTCACTCTGCTCGGAGCCATCGGAGCCCTAGGAGACCGTGGTAAGTTCATCGACGATCCGGAAACGGCCGGACTTGAACGCGCCGTCATCCCTCCCGGCAAGGGCTTCAGATCCGCGCTAGGTCTCAAAGAAGGAGGTACTGTAACTGTACAATCGACGCCATTATTGTATTGTTCAATCAAATCTTGATAAATCTTACAGCAAAATTGAGAATCGATCATGACGTTGGCGGCTCTGTTTTTTGTGAAGGTCCTTTGTTCGGATTCACGAAGGCGAACGAGCTGTTCGTCGGAAGATTGGCGCAGCTAGGGTTCGCGTTCTCGCTGATCGGAGAAATTATTACAGGTAAGGGAGCGTTGGCGCAATTGAACATCGAAACTGGAGTGCCGATTAATGAGATCGAACCGCTGGTTTTGTTGAATGTTGTGTTCTTCTTCATTGCTGCTTTGAATCCTGGAACTGGTAAATTCGTCACCGACGAGGAGGAAGATGAATGAACGGATCGGATCGACTCTGTTTTTTTTTTCTCTGTACATGGACTTAGCAAATCTTCGTATTTTTCCTCTAGCTTGTGTTATTATTGCGTATTTATTTTTCATGAACACTCTAAACAACGAAATCAAATGACCAAAACTTTGGCTAGTGAAGTTTTAGGAAACATGAGTCTCTTTTTTTTCTTCTTTTTCTTTTTTGTTGGCTAATTGTATAACGTTTCCGAGAGATTTAGAATCTTAATTTAGCGTTGACGAGTGAACACTCATATTTACTACGATTAAATTTTGACAAGTACGGAGAGAAAATTATTTTTCCTATTAAACAAAAAAAGAAAAAACTTACAATTTCTTGATGTGTCTAATTAATTTCTAAATATTTGTTCTGACTTTTGAGTAGGTACCATTTTTATTCTTTAAAAAAAAAGTAGATAACAGTTTTTTTTATTTAAAATAAATCAGAAACCACTACTTAGGTAGTAAACTAACTCTATGTTGAGTACTTAAAAAATGTTATACTATCACGAAAAAAGAATAAGGAAAAAAAAATGTAAGTATAACACAGGATTGTAGTTCTTAAAACCATTGATAACTCATTCTAAATTAGACTGGAAGTTTGAACTTTTCTATTATTCTTGAACTCAATAAGAATAATAAATAAAAAAGAATAATATTATATTTACTTTTGATGTTATAAATTTGAATTCTTACACATATGCGGTAACTTTTTTTTTCAGAGAAATTTGTATTACTTGTTTAGAGGGATTTATGTTCAAATTATTGAGGTTGGATTGGATTGATGTAGTAGCTTTTATAAAATGGATTCTTGGTTTAAATATATTAAGTAGATGGAGTTTTAAGCTAATAATAATAATAAATTACAAATGACTCCAACCAATTAAACCAACAATCATACATATGTATCGCTAAAAAGAATAAAAATAAAGTTATATAGGATTGAATTGGAATTTTTTTATTATTTTTTATTTTTTATTTTGAGTTTGAACTCTCTGGTCTTTTAAATTAGTAAATAATGCTATCAACCTTTAAGCTGACAAATTGAATACATTCCTGAATACAAAATTGATAAAGTAAATCAGTAATTATCATGATATTTATCAATTAACATCTATAATAAATTACCTCACATTTTAAAATGCTATATATATATATATAATATATTTTTCTTGATTAAATTATACCTTATGTTGTTCAATTTTGTGGTAAGTTTCAATTCTACCTTTAACCATCTATATCATGCTATCAACTTTGCCATTATAAATAGAATGAAAATGTGACAGTGACGGAGAGTTGCAAAAAGAGAGGTACACACGGGCATATATAGTTTCATTTATGCTCCTAAACTTGTAATAATTTGTATATATGTCCCTATTATTTTAAAAGTTTCATTTTAACCCATATCCCTTAAAATTGTTTCAAAACAATCCTATTCCACTAACTTCCTTATTCTAATGAAGACGAAAATGTAGCTGTGAGTTATAAAAGGGAAGTTTACACATAGGCACAAAAATGAGTGGAAGGGTTTTTGTCAGATTTGAAACTGTGTCGATTAGGGAGGGAGGTATATCTGAGGATCAGAGTTTTAGTAAAATTTTGTCGTTTAAAGGGGAAAGCCACACACCATTAGAAAGACCACAAACTAGTAAAAATGGTGCCAATTAGGGAGGAAAACATATTTGAAGATTATAATTATAAAAATTGCATAATTTAAAAGGAAGCCATACACGAGAAAAATCAAGGACCAGTAACAAAATTAGCATATTGGTAAAGACAGAGGAAYGTGGAGTCTAGAGAGACTTCCAAGAAGGATATATGTTCGTGAAAGAAAACTTGTGGAAGAGTTGGAAGCTAGAAGGAAAAAAATTAACTAGTGAAGGAAGATAATTTTCATCATCAAAGGTACGAAATTTATTCATAGTCCATCGATTCGATTGTCTGGCCTCATATTTGGTCTATCATTCATGATTTGTTAATTGATTCATCGTATTTTTACTCAAATTCACTGTATTTTTAAAAGGAAAAGTCGACGAAATGATATTTTTAAAATAATTTTAAATTTTAAAGGTAGAATCGAGGAATAAAAAAATAGAGACATAATTGAAACTACAAAAATTATTCGGTATGATTTAAATATTTTGCTGACTGGGTAAAGTTAACAGCACCGCTCCCGTTAGAAGCCAAAAGCCCCCGTTGCAAATTTCCTTCTAACAACGAACAGAGAGTTCCCAGTCAGCCGTTCCCTCCATTTTCCTACAAACAATGAAGAAAAGAGTTCCCAATCAACCGTTCCCGCGGGTTCGTCGAGTACTGATGATCCGATTCTTCATCATTGTAGCTCTGTGAACTGGAGATTTCTAAGATTCCACCATTTTGACACTCGTTCAAGAAAATCAATGACAGGAAAATCTTCAAGCTTCTCTTTAGTTATATATCCGTCGCCGTCGAAGCCTCCATTGAATGCGCTAAGAACAATGGAGAAATCAACGATGCTAACGCTGGTGGAGTTCACCTCCACTCCTTTTCTTCTGCGTCGCCGTCTACTTTCTCTGTTAGAGATGTTTCTTACAGGTTCTCCCTCATTCTCTCTCTCTGAAGATTGATTGCTTTTTAATCTTTCAAATGATTAGGTTTCTGATAATAGCCTCCCCTGTTTCGTTGGTAGGGCTAGGGTTAGAAATTTGGAATTATGTTCTTCTCTGATGGGTTAATATATTCTCAATAAATGTCAATATCCAAATCGTGTTGGAATAAGTGGATTGCCTACCAGATATTTGAATTTATAACTTCAACTATGGGATGTCGATGGGGAGTTTTTTGGTAGCCATTCAATTGCGAACAATTGCAAATTACTAACACAAAACCATTTCTTCTGGAAGTCTATTTCACCATAACACGAAATGGGTTTGAGTTGCTTAACCCAATCGAGCTTTCAGTACCTTAGGCCCTGGTTACCATCTGAAGCTTGGACCATCTGATTTCATGGCCTATACCCTTAAAACCAGCTGTGCCTAAATTGTCACCGCTCCTCTTTCTCTGAGTCACGACATTGTTTGTTCAATGCTTAGGCACCGTCAAATACATAGTAATATTTGATTAAATGCTGATATTTGACCCTTTTTCTAGTAGAAATGTTACAGTTGGTCGATGATAATAGCTATTAATGTTTGCAATTATGTGCGAACATATAGAGAGCACTTTTCTAGTAGACTTTGTTTTGGTGGCCAATCAACATTCTCTTGGAACCTTATTTTTTAATTTTTTTTCCTTAAATTTGTAGAGTTAAGAGGTTACTGTAAGAAAGGTATATTCATCGTGTCAAGAGACCATTGTATGAAGGTAACAGTCATGGAATTTGTCTAAGAAGTTTTGTCTGCTTTCGCCAAAAATTTGTGAGTAAGGAGGGTTAGTGATGAAGGAAGAATTTGGAGTGCTGAGCTTGTTTTGCCCGGTGGTTTATCTTCTTCTACCGGAAAAAAAGAGGAGTCTATAGGCTACGAGAAATCTAATCATCTATATATTCTGCATATTTTAAAGAAGTGGAAGCAAAAGCTGCAACACCAACGAGATACAGTTAACTCCTATTGGAATAGAACTAGTAAAAAGTTCACAGTGCATTCTTTCTTTCTTTCTTCCTCTCTATTTTGGTTTTGATTCTTGGACAATAATATTTTCCTAGTACATTTAGATTTCAGATATTCTATGTCTGTTCCTTAGTATGGTCAGTAGTGGCTACATTTGGGTTTAATGGTAGATTACCAGAAAACTGCAGAAAGGAAGATAGTACTAATCGATTATGTAGAAAGTTTAGACACCATACTCTGGGAATTTCTACAAAAATGTGACAGCAATTACCCAAGTATGGTGTTGTATTAGCACAACTAGTTTTCGCATATCAGTGTGATGATATGACATTAGAGCTTAAGCCTACATAGTTTTACTTTCAAACTTTATTCATCGTATATTCAAGATCTTCTTCACTGGTAACATAATATGGAACAATGTTTAGAACAGTTGGTGGAATCTTTATAGTCATTTGTTGAAAAATTTTGGATCCACTCTTTAGACTAAATTCAACAAACCAAACTCAAGATACAACATACCTCCCAAGCCTTGTAAGTCGTAACATATTCTGTGATGTTCGACCGCCAAAGTTTGACGAAGGAAGCCCAACAAGAACAAGTTTCAGAAACAACCCCCCCACCTTCACCTATTAGGCAAAATCTCATGAATACAGCTGAGACTGAGAGTCAACATAATGAATCATTAAAATCTAGAACAGAATTCCAAGTTTCTCCATCATATCTGTTCTGACAGCCAATGAGTTAAAGTATTATTGAATAAAACTTGTTTTTCTTTTAATAGAAAAGTTAAGAAATAAAAGCAACGAAGAGAGTTGCGGAACTGATGGAAGAAGCAACGCAGTGAATTAGTGTCGGTTTCCCATAGAAGCATGTGGGCAGACACGTTGAATTGTTTAATCACTCATTATTTTCTTCCACCATATTTCTTTGTCCAGTTTGCTACGTGTCCTAAGCCGTGCCTCTTAAACACAACCACATGAAAGAGGCTCCATGTATTTTATTTTGTTCTCTCAGCCCACCAGAATTTCTGGAGGAATTTTTCTTTTCTTTTTTGGTGGGTCTGTGAGGTAAAACTCGTCTCATCACATCTAAACAGAAAGGGAAATTTTAGAACCTAAGATTATCCCCTATGGTTGTTTTACATAAATCAGAGGGTTTCTTTTTTAATATAAAATTCCATGTAAATTTGTCCAATCTTATTAGAACTCTAAAACATTAGAGACAAAATTTTATTTTGACTATCTTTTTTTTTAGAAAATTTATTTTCGCTATTAATTACGACTGTGATATGAAATGATATGAGATATTGAAATCATGCTTATTTGAACACAAGTTTTCACCTCTAATAATAAGTTGCGTGTCCAATTTAATCGGCAATTGGTAAAAAATAACAGTAACCCAATATTTAAAATTGGTAAAATATATCATAAGTACGGCGTTAAAATATTTCACTTGACACTTTTTTTATTCTCTAATAATTACTTCAGTATTTATTTTTTTCTCCTCTCTTATGGAATTATTTTCGAAAAGAGAAAAGAGAAGAAAACACATCGATGGAACATCTTATTCTAATAATAGTGGATTGTAATTGGGTATTGAATGTATTTAACCAAAATGACTAGATTTAATTTAAATAGACAATTTTGGTTATCATACCATCATTTTACAGTATAAATACTAAATGGTATCCTATTTTTTTCCCTTTTTGTTATTTTTTTTTTCTGTTTCTCTCTTTCGTCTCCTCTGTTGAATGCATCATTTTTGTGTGTTTTTTTTTAATTTAAATCATAGCGATAAGATTACTTTTATTATATGAACAAAGTAAATCAAAGGAGCTTTATCTTATCTTTCATGGATTTGGGAGGGGGAAAAAGACAGATTCTCAACAACTCATTTTCCCTTTAGTTTCTTATAATAATAAAAAAGAAACAACTCATTTTCCCGGAAATTCACTTTTGGGAAATTGTTTGTGGAACCTAAAGAGTAAATAGTGAGGCAACCATGGTTGGAACTTGGAAGAAAATATAGGAAATTGAGCCCTAGAGAGAGAGAGATGAATACAAGGGAGGGTAGAGAAAGTCAAGACATGTGAGCTCAGCTGTTGGAAGGGACTTGTGTGTGTTTGAGAGAGAGAGAGGAGAGGGAAAAAAGAAGGGGAGAAATGAGGGAAAGTACAGACAAAGACCAACCAAAGTTAGTGTATAAAGGCTATTATTCATAGAAATCTTCTTTTAGCTGTGATAGAAATTCACTGTTTATAGATTGTGTGACCCAAAATAAGATGCTTATCTAAAGTTAGTTTGACTTGGGAGGAGTGACATGTGAAAGCAAGCTATCTCTTGTAACCAAAGCTTCTTCACTTTGTATCTTAGCATAGCACCAATTTCACTTCACTCTGTATAAAATATTCTGGTGGAACAAGGGGCAGAGGGGTCCTCATTTTCCCTTCCTCCATACACTATGTTTCAGGTCATATTACTTTTTCCTTTTCCCTATCCACCTCCCAAGAAAGAGAGAGAAAGAGAGATGGTTAGATACAAGTATCCATCAAAAATATTGAGTTGTGTAGGTGGAAGATGTAATATGTAACCAACCCTTAGCCTTATTATGGATTTTCCCAAGATAAAATTGCCTTATTATTTATATAATAGTTCCAAATCCACTTCTTTTCCTGAAACTGATGACCTAATTTGGTCAATGTAAAATGATTAATATCTTCTCGGATGATATCTATGCCTTCTTTAACATGACACTCCACATCTTTTTTTTTTTTTTTTGTGATATGACACTCCACATCTAAACTTTAAAGAATAACTCACTGTGTCTTTAAATAATCATATTCATCATTATTTGATATGCCTTATTATTATTATGATCATTTTAATTCTACAGTCATCTATTTCAAAATCATGGTTCAATTTGATAATAAATTTTTTTTCAAAACAAAAAAACTTATGCTATTGAGTGTTTTTTTTTTTGCTCCACAGATGAAAATATAATAGTTATAGAAAATGCCTTAAATTATTTATGTTTTGAGCTTGAGTTGTTTTAGATAGCTAGTTTTGCAACATAATAAAATCATAGGACAATTTGCCATATAGAAAAAGACAATGCATGCATAATTTGGGTCATACATAGCTGAAAGCGTTTAATCAGTGGCGTTGGTGTTGGTTTTTGGTTGATGAAGTTGGGTGAAGATTCATGTCTTGTCATTTTCGTCAGCGCGCCACAATGAGCTTTTCTTTCCTGGACCTCAATTTGTGGTCCTTTTCCAGATCAATGGTCCTCTTGATCAAGAGGGCACTTGTGACAAATTGCCCTTGTCAAGGACACTGCTAAAAGATGTAGGCTCTGCCTATTCTAATCTTCCCTTATGGACACAGACTTTTGCTCATTGTGAAAGAATATCTAGGCTGGCGTATATTATTTCAGTTTTTTAGAACAAAAATTTACCGAAACTTGTTTTATTTTCATTTGTTTGTCCTTATAGATAGTCTATTTTTTGAAATATAGAAAGTTTTTCTTCTTTCTTAGATTATATATTTGTGAATAATGATTTCAAACACCCAATATTTGATTAATTATATAGTTTTTCAAATTCTTTTATTTCATAGTTCAAAATTTGCAGAACCAAGACAACTCTAGGCCAAATTGTGGCAGTGTCGCTAAGGGCCCTCTTGCTCCATCGTTTCCCATTTTGTACACACGAATGGGAAAATTCCTTCTTCATTGGTTTATTTAATTGCTGTGTTTGATTTGATATTCAAGCATTGTACATTAGGAAAAAAAGAGATATTGCAATCACATTACAGAAGCTCATTCACAAATTGTTAAACCTGCAATAGCTCAAATAAAAAAAAATTAAGTAATTGATTTGACTCAAATCTTTATACAAATCACATTTGAATTCCGATTCACCCATAGATATTCTCCCTTGCCTATTCACTGTTTCTTGACCTTGTCAGAGTTCTCATCCAGCCTTTCCTTGTCTTAACTCCTTCCACGTGGCAGACTGTCCCTTTGTTGGACCTTTTCCTTCTGATGAGCTGGAAGAGGTGGCCAATCCGCTTCCGCCACCTAAGCGAGGCACGGGTCTTGCCATGTTCTATCACAGTCTTGGTCTCCTTGGAGTCTTTGGTCAAGTGGTGATTCCATGACAGGCTGCAGTTTTCCAGGGACACCTCTGATACCTTGTTCTTCTCCCATGACCCAACTCCATTTTTCCCAAAGTTGATTGAGATGAATGAGTCTACATAATTTATGTGTGGGCCCACATAAAAAAAATTAAAATTTCTAAAAATCCAAAAATACGCATCCCTCAATCAGATATACGATTAACTAAGAGAGTGAGAGAAAAAAAAAAAGAAAAAACTTGGAAAGATACTAGTCAGTGTTGTCTAGATGTGAACTTCTGTTTTGTTTTCCTTGTCTTTTTTCTCCCCCACTTTGCTTCAGAATTTAACCCCAAAATTCTGTTTGGTTTCTGTCTAATCTTTGAGATTACAGAATTTTGTCTATTCTGGTTCTCTGTAATAATTCGAACAATTCAAACCTGCACTTTTCTCAACTGTTGTAAAACAGTCTCCTCCACCATTATTCACTCTGTTTCTTTTTTATTCTTGTACTTTCTGTGTTTCTGACACTGCAACCTTCTGCCAAATCACTCATTTGCCATTCCACCGTTTTTTATTTCCTCGGTTAGGTTGCATTTAACCCATTTTTGAAGTCTCATCCTTTGAATAGCCTTTATTCCATGGTAATGGAATTGAACCAACTACACATAACACACCTACAAACCCCTTATTGACTTTTCATTTTTACCAGTTTCTCTACCCCACAGCTGAAAGACTAAGGATGAAAACTTTCTTCATGATTCTGATACTTGAAACTAGGAAAAGTTATATAGTTATATATATATATAAATATATATGTACGTATGTATATAAAGCTGAAAAGAAAGTACCTTCATGACTGGTGGAGGCTTCATCATCGGAATTTTCCGGCTTTGGGTGCCGGAATTCGAGACGGGTGATGAAAGAGCTAAAAGCGAAGATCTTGGAGAGGTTAATGGGAGTTTTCCGGCAGGTCCGGGCTGAGGAGTGGTGGCGGCCTCGCTTGGAGGCCAGGATAAGAAGCCTCTCGTTTAAGCACAAAGCGCAGACACCCACCACTATTTCTTTTGGATGGAAGTAACAGGAGGAGATTTGATCTCTGTACACATTCATGCTTTTTTGGAAGGCAAGAAAGTTGAGAGGAAAATGTGAGGCGAAGGGAGAGAAAATATGAGGGTTGGAGGTGCGTTTGGTGTTGGTCATTTATAGTA